CACTTGACTTCTAATATACAACCTTTTGCATCACCAAGGTAAGCTTCGACATAAAAGTTGATAAAGCACTCTCAGAGTTTTTGGTAGATCCCCTTTTAAATCACACTTTTGTAGGCAAAGATGTTTTTTCTCTTGTCACGAGCGTGGAACAAAGGACATAATCTGAGACCCCAGGAGGAATCGAACCTTAACCTTCGGATTCTGCGCAGCAATGTTCTACTACTGAACTACAGAGAAATCTCTGATAAGCGAGGTCATTACTAAGTTCACATGTGATACGCGTCCTGCAACCTGTTAGGATCAGTGATGTCAAAAGTGCCGGAAGGGGGGGAGGTAAATAGAAAATCTAGAAAATCTAAGTAACTAAACTCTTCCAATTTCAGCGGAACGAAATGCGTCAGTCAGATACTACACATCAAGTTCACATAAATGAAGATTGATATGGCCAATAATGCCTCGCACTCGAAATTTACCTCAATCGCGTGGTATTCGTCAAAATTCATTTTGAGGTAATTTTGAAAGTTCAAACTTACCAAGATGACAGTCTATTTACTCGTTTCTGAATTTGTTTTCATTATGTCGGCTAACTGTCGGTGAACAGTCGGCCGACAGTTGGCCGACAGATATTTTGGGGAGCTGTTCTTCCATTTTACCGAAAAGTCATAAAAGTGGGAAAAAGACATGAGCCAAACTAATCAACGGTTCTGTGCAGACAAAAAGTTGCCTAACGACCATCACCGCTTATTGCCTTTCGATTTCCTCAACTGAAAAACACAAGATTCCTTACCAATATTATAAATTTCTGCACTCCCAAATCTTACACCAGCCGGGTTAAGAGTTCCATCACTGAAAAAACAACAACAACAGCCAATGATCAAGGTGTGATTGATCGTCAAATTTGCGTAACCCTTGAAGGCCTTAAAGTGACTAGCATCTAATTTCTCCTTACATTATTACCATTGAATCGAACAATAAGGTAACGAGAATATAGGAAATGATCACCAACTAAAAAAAAACTCGTGATTGTTAAGCAAATTCTCCTTGTCAGCACGTCAGGAAATGTATAGAGAACAGTATGAAGAATATGCATACTGCTGTTAGGTTAATCAAAAGAGACTGTCTAGAATTGAAATAAAGATAACAGGCAGGTCCAATGCTCTGATTCAATTCAGACAGCAATGTAGTGTCGAGGGCTTGAGCACTAGCACAAAATGGTCCTGCGTTGTTCACTACGTTAAGACTGTCCTTACTTGAAATATCGACGTCACCATATCACCGACTGAGTAGCCGGGCAAAACTGAACCAGCAAATCAGTAAAAAAAAACTAGGGTAGAACTGTTCATAAGAAACCGAATTGTGAACGAGAGTAAACGTAGTCTCATTTATGTTCACAGTTTCTTTCTTTACCTTCTTCCTAGCATAAGAATTCCGCCAGTAGATGAGTTGATTGAGCAAAAATCACCGTGCGTCCAAACACCTAACGCGAAAAAGAAAGACAGAATGAAATTAAAGAGGAAGTTGCTCCAGAAACCGAAAAAAAAATTTCATTTTCGCTAAAAATGATACCACAAACTGCGTTTTTAGATTCCATAAAGTAACTGAACGTTCGAAGACTGTCTCCTCGTGCGCTAAAATTCGGCAATGTGCGCCGCCATTTTGGGGACTGAAACAACTTAGTACCCAGGCCGAACGGAATGACGCATGAGAATTGGTTTTAAAATTAGCTGCTACCCCGACTTCCATAACTAACCCTACCGACTTCCATAACTCATCAGTTTCAAATAATTTTTATGTTTAAACTGAAGTGTACTAGATACCAGTTTAAAACTAACCCGCAAACTTGTTGAAGTACGCTTTCTTGTATTTGAGGCCTTGAGGGTCATTCCAAAAGTGAACAGGCATACATGGGAAGGGCTTGGTGCAAACCAGCTCTCCGCTCTGATCATAGACAGCTTTACCTAAGTTCAGAACAAATCATGAACACAATAGGAGATAGATTGATTATATATTAACAGAAATTATCTTGCAGGACAGGAGTCTTTATTTTGCGAGCGGAAGCAAGCTGGAGGTGAGCGGGAGGTAGCGCGAGGCGAGTGCGAAGTAGGTGCGCGCCGAGTATGACCTGAGCGCTCTCTAGTTTTTCCAGGCGCTGGAAAAATGCAAAACAATGACGTATGCACCGCGAGATGTGGCAAAATGGGAACCTGGCCTGGCCATAAAGAGAAATGTGAAATTCACGACTTGGTCCGGTCCCACGCTCATTACTTAAAATTCCAAGCTCTATCGCTCTTCACTAACTTCAGGCAAATGGGACGAGCTAATTTTCTTCTGAAGCTAAGAATTACCTTGAATTGCAATATTACATTGGTCGTCAGAACAAAACTGACAGAGGCGTGACAGAAGGCTCATGTCTCCATATTATATACAAAAATTATCCAGTTTTTAGCCTCATTATGACGTAAATCCAAATGGGTCAACCAGCTTCCTGTAAGCTTCCTCTGTTTCCTCCTTCCGTTAGGCTAAACGGATTGGTGCGAGTGGACACTTGACAGGTCTTACTCAAAGAAGTTTCAGTCCCTATGTCACCAATTCGCAGGCGGCCTACAAAATCGATGTAATCGGGGCATGCTGCCGTTTAACTAGAGTCATGCGTGACATCCGGCTGCAACGTAGGCTAAGCTCCAAGCTTTCCGGGTTTTAGCAAAGATCACTTTTGACAGATCAATAGTCTACGTTTTAGACATGGAAAAAAGACGACGCCAGGGATCCACAGAAGAAAAGATGAGGAGAAGGTAAAAAGAAAAAATTACTGCTTCTTTGGGAACATGAAAACTACGAGGCTCAATGTTAGACACGTGATTTCATTTCGTGCAGCCGTCGATAGTTATCGTAACGGACATCTAAGCCCAAAAACAAACAAAGTGGATGGAAATCTTCCGATTACAATTAAACAAGGTGACCTTTCGAACTCCCTAAAACATGCCACCTGTATCGCAAAAGGTCCACAGCATGAAACTAAATTTTAATGATCCATCTCTAACTTCAAAGTTTGCATGTTACTTAAAACTTCTGTAACAAAATAATGCTTGGAAGTCAGAGAGATTTCTTTTACCGTCGTCGTTCCAGCTTTCCACGGCCATTCCTAGGTTTCTTGTTTGAATTTCTCCACGGTACACAGGGACAGTTGGATTTTGGCCAGCAAAACATGAAATGATATCTGTGCCTCCTGTAAATTGGGATAAAAAAAAACATAAAATAAGTTCGGTGGGCAATAGGAATAAACAGTCGCCTGGTGGTTACCGCTGTCCCTCGCTCTCTACCCAGAAGCATAAATTGGTACCCGACTAACTGTAGATGGTATTTTTGATGGATTTGCTCCCATCCAAAAGAAGTAAAGATACCTCAAGTATTTTTCGGGAGAGGCATTATATCTCAAGGTTTTCCAGGTTAGCAGAGAAGCACGAGGGGCAAGACACGCTTGAGATAAGGAGGGCGGAAAAGTTTGTCCTCTTTTTCTAGCGCTACCCCATTTGCGCGTGTCTTTTCCCTCGCGCTTTTCTCCACAGTGCTTGCTTAAAAAACGAAAAAAAGTCAGGCTTGTTCTGCTGGCCGTACTCCAAGCCGCTTCTATCAAAGAATAAAAATCTGCGGATATGGGGATACGAATCGGTAAACCTCCAAAATCGACGCACAACTCTTACCTTTGCATTTTCTAAGTAACGTTAAAGTTAATCATCGCCCTCACAAGTCTTAATAGTGCTTGTGCGCTGCAATTCTAGTTCCACTGCGCATCCCACTCATACATACCTTCCCATGAAAAAAGTACGATTAAGGACTCTAAACCAAGATACATAGATAGGTTTCTCCCATAAGTCCCACCACTCACGGTACTGTTTTCAAGTCCCGCACCAATCAAAATCTCTTTCTAGCTCTTTATACCTCTTCCACAGAATGGTAGTCAGTAAGTTTAATTTTTTAATTTTAATTTAGTCCATTTTCACTGCATTAAGTTTTGCAGTGGGGAAGGACTAGAAAGGAACATAGGAACCATTCGTGCTAGTCCACCCTCCCACCCATCCCACCCCAGGGGAGGACATCCATCACACAGTAATCTCGTGTGTGGGAAATTAACGTCTCCTACCCCAACCCTGCAGGAGACGGGACCTCCATTTATTCGTCCCTATCCGAGAAGACTAGAATATCTAACCATTTCTTGATGTTATAGAAAGGCAGCAAATTCTTCTCAATCAGGCAGCAAATTCTTCTCAATTAAACTCAAAGTAACATTAAACTCACCTGAGATAGAGCCAAGGAGTACATTGTGCTTTATACTGCTGTAAACGTAGTCATAACTGGCCGGTTTCAGGGGGGAGCCCGTTGATAGTATCGTGTGTAGACTTGCTAGATTATGCGTCCTAACTGTAGTGAAACCAAAAAAATGTAGTATGGATATACATTCTTTGAAAGAACCCGCTTCGTAACCTGTATGCACAGCATTAACCTCGAACTCATGTAGTAAGAGGTATTTAGGGAGAGAATCTAAACGGAAGATTTAAGTTTGAAAACTGGACATTTTTCGGGAAAGGAGCCCGCGATTCTCCTATTTGGAAAGGAACGAGGATCGATAGATCCAAGAGAGGGTAGAAATCGAGAGATGGGAGGGTCTCAATCCAGCAAAAACAGACTTGAAGAAATTTGTATTAGCTTGCTGTGGCAGAGTTTACGCTGAAATATCGTCACAACGAACGGAACATGGGTGCTTACTATGAGCAAGAAACAGATTATTACGGACGGCACCGTAACTTACTTGGCTGAACTTCCCTGTCTTCGAGAGCTGACAACCATTTGGCTCCAGTTCCGAGAATGGTTATTCTAGTTAAGTAAAATAGCAACGAATCACGCATGAGAAGAATCCTGAACTAGCCAGAACTTTCAACAAAAAACTATTTTGGTATATGATGTTACGTAAGTGCTCTAATGCATGCAGGGTAGTGCTCTATGTACAGTACAACAAATGTAACTGCCACTCATCTCACCCTATTCGGTCAACTAAGTCCCAGATAACATTTGGTGAAGGAATAAAAGGTGATCCATCATACAATACAACAGAGGCTCCGACAGCAAGGGCAGACACCAGCCAGTTCCACATCATCCAGCCTGTCTGTTAAGATCGATGTACAGTAATGATCATCATAGACAGTGGAGGGTAAAAAAAGAAACGCATAAGGAAGAAAAGCCGGTAGGTGTACACACACACACAAACCGGGCCCACCACTTAGCTAAAGGTCTGAATCCACCACTGGTGGACGCAAGAATTAGATTCAAGACAAACGCAGCAAAAGACTAATCACACTCGAGACTAATGATTAAAGAGCAATATTCAATTGAACGTCAAAAGTGATCTGGGAACAAATGTGTTTTGCCTCACTACACTTTGTGATAGGTCTAGAAATTCATGCCAAGACCTGGAAAGAAATATCGGTATTTAAAAAATTTGGTTAGTTGTAATTATGCTTTGAATTGCAATTATGAGGTCCCCAACACTTTCTATGTGAAGCGTGATTGTGGCATTTTTTTTTATTCGTGAATAGTGATTAAATATGATAAAATCTTTTCATGTCCACGTGAACGAAATTTTTTTTATTAAAAACGTAACCCGTGAGTGATTCGTGAAGCATTTGTTTTGCGCTATGAATTTCCGCCTGGTTCGGAGATCCAAACTGGGAGGATTGATAGCTTCATTTAAACGTATTAGAAAACAATGAAAATAACATTTCGTGAACTTGGTTTTTCATCTTTATTTGAAACGCGATCGTCTGCAACTTTGCGTGAACGTAAAAGAATTTTCGACATATCCGTGATGCGAGAAAACGCCAAATATTTTTTTTTACAAAAGGGCACGAGGGTCTCTTTGGAATAGGCTGAAAGGTGAGTATATATAATGTGCAACACTTAAGTTTCTGCCAGCCAAAAATGTATGGAGGCTGATCTAACATGGAGCTAAAAAAAAAAATCGTAACGTCACTTACAGTTGAGTAATAAAAGATCACATCTTGTCTGTTCATGTTCCCATGAAGTATATGTTCTTTCAGATGCTGGATTAGTGTTCCCTTAAATTAAAAGTCCAAGAAAATCATATTTTTCTCTTCTTTAAAGAGACATCAGTCTAGCAAATAATGAACCCATGGCCTGCTTTGAGATAATTACACCATTTCACAGCTGAAAATCCTAAGAGTTGGAGGGTATGTGTCAACCCTTTAACTTCCAGATCTAATCGTTAATTCTCCTCTCTGGCTACTACACATTTCCTTGTAAATAAAGGACCAGAATTTGGTGTTAGATCAAGATAACAACTTCTGCCAGATAAGTTTGAGTATGCTCATTGCCTGTTTGCTTGATAAATTATGTATGGATATCAAAGGGAAAAGTTACATGTTAATCAATTCTGGGAGTTAAGGTTTTAAGCAACAAAAGAGAATAGGAATTGTCTTACTTACCCCAACAGAATGCACCATGCATTTTGGAGGACCAGTTGTTCCAGATGAGTACATGATGAAGAGGGGATGATTAAAGGGAACTTGTGCAAACTCTAGAACTGGCCACTCGTCAGCAAATTTTTTGAAATCATCCGACAACATGCTTATAAGAAGGAAGCAAGGAGATAAATGTTATCGACTGAAAATAGTTTTCAGACCTCATAAATGGCGGCTATCCCAAAAATGAGGATGAAGTAGCTCCAAAAACTCAAAGTTGACTGATGGTACAGTAGTACGGTGCATTTTAGCAATATTTTCCATTTTGATGTCTGAAATTTTAATGGACCACTTGAGGTCTGTAAGCTGATTTCTGTATGAAAAAAAATCAGAATTTACAAGATGGGAGGAATGTCATACTTTGGCCACAAGCTAGAGTTACTTTTTACAAATTCAAAAACAAAATTAAGATTGGGAGACAGCTTAATGGAAAAATTGAGATCGAGAGACCAAGAAACCTCCTACCCCTCTACCCTCACAATAGAAGCACAAGTAACCATTGGTTGCTCAGCCATACTCAAAGAAATTTAGAGTTACAAATCATCTACAGCAGCCAAAAAAGTACGCAAAATACCTGTTTGGGATTCCAGATAGGTCAATGTCATCTGCTTTCCCAACAAATGGCATCACAACTACTTTCTCCAGCTCAGGAAGACCTGCATAAAAATTTTTTTTTCAGATACGGATATATCAAAATACACTCACGAGGATGATAACAGCACCATTGTTATCAACATCTTTATTTACTGCTTATCATCAGTGTTACTAGTATGTAATAACTACCCGGCAAAGAGTAACAGTTTATTGACTGAGATAGAATAAATATATGAAAATCATATATTTTGAACTGCGGTATTTGATACGTATGATGGACGATCCTCGCAGTAGATAGCGCTATTTGAGCAATAGCGAAATTCAGACCTGAAAAAAACCAGGCCTGTACGGGACTCGAACCACTGACCTCTGCGATACTAGTGCAGCGCTCTAACCAATTTATTGACTGTTACCTCTGAGCCCGGCACAGTTACTGTTAACTATGGTTTGTAGTAACAAGTACTTCACTCATTTATATGTGCTGCTAATACATAAAAAAAAAAAAGAGGAAAAGAATTTAGCATAGGTCAGGATCACTTTCCTGTAAAGAAGGAACTTAACTCTCTCTCACAGAGCATTTCCACCCATAAACATGTGTTTTACAGAGGGAAGCAAAGCCAA